TAGACACTGTAGGACATTAACTTTTTGGCATTTGGTTTTGCTTAATTCTTGAATAATAATGTACATAATTCATTACACTTTTGGTATTTTGATCTTAGAAGAAAACAATGACTGTTGGTTGAAATTATTTCTAATGAAATTCAACTGGCCACTGGATGGCTATTCCAGAACTAGACCCTTTAATTGACTTGTTGCTTTAGGTCTTTAGGTCCTAATGACAACTATCTTAAATGCAATCTGCATGCCTTATTCTGTGACTACAGATCCTGAAGAATCACAAGAGGACATACTACAGTGGTTAGGGTTGCAGTGACCTGGGCACTGTTTAAACTTCTTGTGTATCTCCACCTGTTCCCACCTAAGACCAAACAATATGCCCATGAGAAAAGAATTATGAGGCGATTCCAGGCAAGAATCTAGATGTTTATACAATAAAAGTAAGGATTCCAAAAGAATTTTTTTTTTCTGTATACTTCTATGACAATGCTGGTAGTGGTTCTGCCAGCAACAGTTCTGTGGTTCTGCTCAACCTCAAGAACTGCATAGCCCTGGCAGAGACATGTGTGACTGGTAGAGCAGCCCAGGCCAGTATGTCCTATCCAAGCTTTATTGCCAAGAAGCTGGGACTCTGGTTTGCTTTGGTTAGAAATCTCTAGAGTTTTTAAAAACTCAAGGGATAATACTGACTTCCACAATATTCATGATGAAAATTGGAAAAATTTCCACTGGACCATCTCCTTTAGGGAATTACCAATAAACAGAGATTATGTTTCTATAACTAATTAGGCAGTCTGCTTCTGTAAAGATTTACAGCCTTGGGGTTCCATGGGGCAATTCTATTCTGTCCTATAATGTCACTAGGACTCAAAATAGACTTGATGGAAATGGGCACATGAGAGGTGCACTACACATCTTGTCATTTTGAATGAAACATTTCATTCAAACATTACCAATATGTCTGTTTTTTTAGCTTTCATACACACAAATGAACTCGACGTGAGGACTTTGAATGCTTTAGGGGCTTTGTGATAAATTCTTGAGAGGTGCTTTGTACTTTAGTTACATTTTCCTCATAGATTTTGTGTCTATAGTTTGAAACTTAGACTTTTGTCTGGATCCTGAGTCAAGACAGGCGTGATGCTATGGGTATAGGAAGAAAATTTTACTCGCATCTCTTCAAACCAAAATCAAACCCACTGCCACCTGGTTGATTGACTCACAGTAACCATGTTGGACAGAGGAGAACTGCTCCATAGGGTTTCCAAGACCATAAATCTTTAAGAAGCAGACTACACATTGCTCTCCCATGGAGTGTCTAATGGTTCAAACTGCTGGCCTTTTGGTTAGCAGCCAAGAGCATAACCACTGTACCACCAGAGGTCCTTGCATCTTGTAGACAATATTAAATAAGCTAAATTTGCTTTTTAATAATGAAACTTGGAAATGAATGGACATCAGCTTTCACAACACAAGTCAGATTATCCAAGGGCATGAAAATCCTCTCACTAAGCTCTGGTGGCATAGTGGGTAAGGCATTTGGCTGCTAACCAGAAGGTTGGTGGTTCAAACCCACAAGCTGCTTCATGGGAGGAAGATGAAGTAACCTACTTCCATATAGATTTACAGCCTTCAAAACCCAATGGGAATCACTATGAGTCTGAATCGACTCAATGACAGTTGGTGGGTAAGTCAGTTATGTTTTAGAAGAGTTTATTTTTCAACTGCCAGCTATCTATTGAGAAACGTTTCCAATGAGCAAATTAAGAGTACTCCTTGTTCTGATGGCACTGCTGGAATGTCTTCATTACAGGAGGTTGAGCTCTCAGTGCTTCCTGGCTTCTCCAAGGAGCTCCCATCTCTCCTTCTGTTTGCTTTGGATGCTGATTCCTGGCTAAGAAAGGTCTCTCAGGGTTTTGTCTCAAAGATAATCAAAGGTGGTTCCCAGTGAATTTACCAAATTTCCCTTGTCTTTTTGACATTGATCGTTTTCATTTATAATTTTAGCCACAAATAGGGAGCTAGGTCAAGTTCTTTATAAGAAAAAATACTAAAACCCAACTCACTGCCATTAAGTCAATTCTGACTCATAGTGAGTTTCCAAGGCTGTAAATCTTTATGCAAATAGATTGCCCCATCTTCCTTCTGCAGAGCAACCGGTGGATTTGAACTGCTGACCTTCTGGTTAGTAGTCAAATGCCTTATCCACTACGCCACCAGAGTTCCTTAATTCTGTCCCCAACAAGATCACTAGTATTAGCCACATTTTTAAGAAGAGAAGACTGAAATCAAGAAAGGTTAAACATGTTGTTCCAATTCTCAAAGCCAGAAAATGTCAAAATATATATTTGGGCACAGATCTCTGACTTCAAATCTCAATTTTTAACCTCTTTACTAAACTTTACTTTTATCCCCAACACCATCAAATTGCTAAGGGGGATCCAAAATATTGCAGCAAATGTCTTAAACAGAAGTGTGATTGAATTCCTATCTGGGGCTTCCTCCTAGGGTCTGGGTTCTCACTCTGCCCTAGTTGAGTCTTATCTTCTCTCTTCTTTCTTTTCTAGTGATTGGCAGGGAGAGAAGGAGACAGAAAGAAAATAACAGTAAAGACAGAGATGGAAGGAGAAACGGACACTACCTACTTGGGCCACAACATGCCAGAGTTTCCACAGTAAGTGATTCAATTGAGAAGACTTCCACTTCAAAATTACAGTATGTATTCCTGGGATGGTAGAACCAGGAAGACATTCTGTCCAAAAGGGTGAAAGAGAAATCAGAAAGAGAACTAAAGGAATGCATTGTAGTTTCCTTTACTCAGATTTCATAAGGAATGTTAGCTCGTGTGTCAAAGCTGTTCCTGCTCTACCAATCATGGCATTAGAAGGTCATTCTAGTATATTTACATATGGAAATTGTTTATAATGAAAAAGGTACATGTATTTATTATTTACTTTAGAGTGTCTTATTTTTAAATTAATTCCATCCTTGTGTATTCCAAGTCTAGACGATGGAATGGAAGAACCTTGTTCGCATATATGACATCAGTAGGAAAAGATGGGTCAGGTTCCACTTGCAGACAAAGCTGCTGTCATCCACATCCTGATAATATCTGTGGTCAGACTAAGAGCTGGTCACCAGGCAGAAATAATGATTGTTGAGGAACAGTCTTAGGAGCCAAAAGCAAGACTATGTCATCCCGTGAGAGAACTCATGTTATCAAAGTCCATTAAAATAAAGAGTTTTCCTATCCAGTGGTTTATATACAAATATCTCATCCTCCCTGACCGTGTTTTATCTGAATTATCCATTTTACTTTTGGAAGCTCTAATAGGAAATATATCAGTAGATATAGGTACACAAACATATTTATTTGATACTCTAAATATTTTTAAGGCCTTTGTTTCAATTCCTGTGATCAAAAAATGTAAAAAATAAACATAACGCACATCCACTCTAAAATATAATATTTGCAAAATTGAGCTTATTACAAGCAAACATGAGACTTCATTAGAAGGAAACATTAAAGCACTTATCTTGACTTTTTTTTTTCTCCTCATCCAATGGATGTCTGAGTTGAGTCCACATAACTATAGCCAGTTGGATCTGAAACAGTAAATTCAGTTATTCCGACAACAGCTGTCTTCCTGAAACATTGCCTTTGCATGTCCATTGCATATTTGTGCCTTGTTATATGAAGAAGGGATACACATTTTACTGTTCAGTTTGCTGGCAGCTTGTAGACTCAGGAACCCTCTTTCAAGGAAAGCTGACTTCTTGTTATTAATTAGCATCTGTTCAGATAACTACAATGCACTTGATGCACTTCGTCAACACAGACAAAGGTTCAAGGTGGAGACCTTTCTGGCCTGGGCCATGTGCCTTGGCTGTCTACGTGGATTAGGTAAAATGGGTGTTTGCCAAATCTCTACTGTATTTCATACTGAAGAAAATCAGCCAAAGAGAAGAACTATCTTAGAGAATATTCTTAGAAGAGTGACATTTTACAAAGGGAATCTGGACATTTAGCAGAGACTAGATAGAACAAAATATTGGCAATGACGATACATGAACACATTCTTCAGCGAGACATTTTTGAGCTATTGCTGCAATTTTGTGTCCATGTAGCTACATAGGATTAAAAAGTATATGTTGATTCTTTCTACATGGTCATTTGAGTCTTTCTGTCTTCAGATTAAGTTTATTGGATCTACATATGTTTTAAAAGTTTAAACTGTTCTGGCAGTCAACAGAAAAATCTGTCATTTTATCACACTGATTCAAAAGGCATAAGTATTCTGAGCTGAGTAAAGAAGAAGAAATCACATATAAAGGAGAAACAAGGAGTATGGAGAAACCACTGCAAAATGAAGAGTGCATTTTAATGCTTGACTTCCTACATGCCAGAAATGATTGGCTAGCTCATTGGATGACTAGTATTACCTTGTGTGAATTCTTGGATGGGAGCAATGGGATTGCACAGTTAGAACTGGCAGAAAACTACTGAAAGCTAAGAATGTAAAATCTCCCATTATGACTCTTAGGAAGCACTTGCAATGGCCAGGAATTAACCTTTCTGCAGCTGACACATTACTGAGTTTCAGATTACCTTGTGTGATAATCTTTACCTTTGTAATTATGAAGATCAGTAAGAGGGATATTCTTTTAAAAAATGCAAAACCAAGGAACAGAGGTGGAAATTGTCTCTTAACCAGATGATTCTTTTAAGGTGACCATTAGGGTCAAAAATAGAGCAATGGATTCACTCACAGGAGACTAGAATGGTTTGCACTTTCCACAAGGTGCCTTTGATCAGAGGTAGCATTTACTTTTTGTGTTACTAAGGTGAATTCAAACAATCCATGGTTTTTCTTGGATGATGTCATAAATATTTGTTGAACACGAAGTATTACATACAGAGGGTCATCTTCGATGATGACCTCAATTCACATACCACAGTGTGTTTTGGTCCTATTGGGCATCTTCCTTGGGATTACGTACACAACTGTACTCATTAGTAACTGTGGAACATTCTTTTCCTTCAGAATTCTTGATGGAGTTTGGATGCCCCTCTAATGTGCAGAAGTGAATTGCCAGAGAGGAAAGAGCTTAGATGACTTGGAAGCAGGCAATTCCCAGGGATCTAGAGCCTCTCATGTGTTCTCACAGAGACCTGCTTCCACGTAGATGTTGGCTTCTAAACTTGATGAGGGTCTTAATGACATGAGACCCGGTTATGGCAATGGAGCAGTTTCCACTTCCAGATTTTCTAGCTGAAAGGAAAGAAAGTGCAAAAGTAGTGATCATTTCTGATTCCATGCAGCACACGTTAATTGAGCATCTTCTATGTGTCAGAACTTATTGAGGGCTTTCATATATTTGACCACCAGCATCCTTCAGATTTTTTCCTAACACTCAAGACATTACTCTCTTAAGCTATTAGAAATATGCTCTTGCATTTTTGTACATCCCTGAAGAATTGTATTATAGTTATCTTAGACATTATATTGAGGCTTCCTTGGAAGAATACATTATAGCTTCAACTCTTTTTTTTCCCCACCCTCCTTCATCTTTTTCCTCACTCTTTATACTTGAATCATTTAAAACTTTAGCAGAATTTCAAAAAAAGAGAAAATACTGTCTTCAAAATACTTTTTATGTTCTTTGTTTCTAGGTAAAGATATTTTATTTTTACCCAATTCTCACAATTAATGAATTTTTTTCTGAAGAAGCTTATCCAAAGTCCACACCCCCACGTCCATTGTAAAGCTAGCATATATGTGAAGCAAATTGTATGACCTTTGTTAAGCATATGTAAATGTGGTTTGATATTTCCAAGTAAGGGGAAATAGAGCAAATTTTTTTGTTTTAATAAACAATTGCTGTCATTTTAGGGGGAGCTCTGGTGGCATAGTGCTTAAGGCATTTGACTGCTAACTAGAAGGCTGGTGGTTCAAACCCATCAGCCACTCCTCGGAAGGAAGATTGGACAGTCTTCTGTAGAGATACTGCCTCGGAAACCCAAGGAGTGGTCACTATGAGTCGAATGGACTCGACAGCAGTGAGTTTGGTTTTTGGTTTGGTTGTCATTATATTAAAAGGTTTTGGTGAAGGAAAGGAAGTGGTGGTATTAAAACAAGAAACAGATCCCAGATTTTTATTTTTTAAAAAAAACCCAACAACTTTTTGTTTTCATAAATTTCCAACTTCAGCTTCAGAAAAGTGCAAGAATAATAAAGACCATTTGTATGTACTTTACCCAGATTCACTTACTGTTAATATTTTTCCCCATTAATTTACTGTTAGCATGTTTTTTCCTCTCTCCTTCTACAAACACACATATACATTAATACACACACTCATTGTCCTTTGAACAATTTGAGATTAAGTCATCCATTTGCCTATAAATATCTTGTATTATGCATTTTCTGGAATATGTCCCTTCTTCCTAAGAATGAAAACTAAATTACTGTTGGGAGTAGTAGTCCCCATGGGGTCCACATGACCCTGACCATTCTTGCTAACTGTGCATGCTGTAGGTCCTAACTGTTCTCTTACCAAAGCCATGTCTGTAGCCAGTCACATAGGCAATGAAGAAGGTCAAGGCATGCACAGAATTGACCATTGTGTGATTGTTTGCTTCTGGGACAATCTTGTATTACTGTTTGTTACAAAAGGTACAGAGACCATAGCTCTGGGTCCCTCAACTGCATTCGTTGTGTGTGTTGCCATTGTTTGTACCATCTGTGTCCCCTGTAGTCATTAGCAATACATCACTCCTTGTATCACATTCCCTGTGTAGGATCTCCAGGTCAAGAGGAGTGTCTTACCTGAGGGATACACTGATTCCTGTTTTCACACAGCAATGGGAGGACAGTTCCTTGCTCTCAGAGTCTATCTTCTAGGGATAGGTCAGGTACCTGCCCTTACCTTTGCTACCATATCTTATGAGATAGAATGAACCATAGAAGACAAGCAGGTAAGACTAAACCCCCTGATTGTAATGGATCATAGATTACCTTAGATTATATTCTGGAAGAATAGAGAGGGGTATGTATGGTTGCCAACACCTGTTGCATTTGTATTAAAACCACCATTCAGATTGAACAATTGATCCATGCTATGGAAAAAGATGCTAAATGGTATGTGAAATAAGATCCACTATTCCTCTGGTAGTGCAGTGCCTAAGGAATTTGGCTGCTAACCAGAAGTTTGATGGTTCAAACCCACCATCTGTGGAAGGAAGATGGAGCAATCTACTTCCATAAAGATTTACCATCTTGGAAACCCAGCGGGGGTCAGTGTGAGTTGGAATCAACTTGATGGCAGTGGGTTTGGCTGGTGGTGTAGTGTTTAAGGTATTTGGCTGCTAACCACAATATCGCTAGTTGGTACTCACCAGCCACTACATGGAAGAAAGATGAGGCAGTCTGCTTCTTCAAAGATTTACAGCCTTAGAAAAACAATGGGGTCACTGTGAGTTGGAACTGACGTGATGGCAATGAGTTTGGTTTTGGTTTGAGTCTCTTCTGAAGGAGCTCTGGTGATGCAGTGGTTAAAGCATTCAGCTGCTAACCAAAAGGTCAATTGTTTGAACCCACCAGTTGCTCTTGGGAGAACAATGGAGCAGTCTGCTTCTATAAAGATTTATAGCCTTGGAAACCCTATGGGCAGTTCTACCCAGTCCTTTGGGTTTCTATGAGTTGGAATTGACTCAGTGGCAATGGGCTTTTGGTTTTTAGTTTAGTCCACTTTGAGGATCCCTGGTGGGACAATGGTTAAGTGCTTGACGATTAGCCTAAAGGTCTGTGGTTTGAATCTACCAGCAGCTCTGTGGGAGAAAGGACTCAATGAACTGCTCCTATAAAGATTACAGCCTAGAAATCCCTCTGTCCTATAGGGTCACTGTGAGTCAGAATCGACTTAACAGTACTTACCAACAGCACAACTGTACTCTCTGGGACTTATTCAGTTGAATCTGTCAACCAGGAGTGCCCAACTGAAGTCAATACTTCAGTTTGACCTCATCCTGCCAATTGAGATTCTGTTGCTAATAGCCTTAATCAAGTCTTGAACAAATTTAGCACTAACCCTGTCATTATGTCTAATTCTAATTGCTGTTGGGTGACATAATCATGTGAAAATTTGAGTTTGGCCAAGAATATGTAGGGCTAAGAGGTGAATTATTGGGGGAGGCTGTCCACCATGGGCCTGAGCATATCTGAACATCTTTGCTGTCTCTGCCAAACTACAAGGCCAAACTATCTTCTGACCCTGCTCTGTTTCTATAGCTAGTCACAAAGTCAATTAAATATGTCTATTGACTGACCCCAGAAGGACTGCAGCATCACCATTCTGTGATTGCTCTCTCTTGGCGGAGGGAGATGCTTGTTTGTTGCTTGTTGCAAAAGGTTATGAATTCTTAGCCCTGGGCTCCTCAGCTGTGGTGCAACCCCCTGGGTGTATACCAGCAACTGGGCACATTACATTGTGCCATAGGACACTGGGGCAAGGGAGGGAGTGCTACCATGCTGATGCTCCTTCAGTTTGCAGTATTTGCTGTGAGCAATAAACTCTCTCTCTCTGATTCATGGAGTCACATTGTCTATTTTTGTCAACATAGAGTTGTGGTAAGCCAACTGCTTGCTTGCTTAGACATCTTCTTTTGAGTCTTGTAACTCCAGGCCATTTTCTCTAAGACCGAGCTTCTTTCCTGACAATAGCCTCACAGTTATACTTTTCTATTCTTAGGCATAGGAGCTCTGGTAGTGCAGTGCCTAAGGCACTCAACTGCTAACCAGAAGGCTGGCAGTTCAAACCCACCTCAGAAGGAAGGTTGGGCAATCTACTTCTGTAGTGATAACACCTCGGAAACCCAAGGAGGGGTCGCTATCAGTCAGGTCTGACTCGACAGCAAATAGCAACAACATTCTTATGCGTAGATACAATAGTTGACTGTACCACCTATTTTCCAGTTTTGTCAACAGTTTCTCAACCTGTTATTTTTCCAGAAAATCAGTGATCCAATTTCCTTAGGCTATTTTTTGGCCTAGTTTTAAAAATGAAATATTTGAAAAGCTCAACCCCAAGCTGATTGAAGGTACTTTAATCTCTATACATCCAATGCTCAGTGTGTGTTTCCTACAGTTTTGGATCTGGAAGGAATTTAAGAGATTATCTTTTCCAACAACATGAATCTGTGGAAGGAAATCAAAGCCTACTGAGGTGAAGTAACTTTCCCAAGTGTGCTGGTTGAGAAAAGCTGGTTTAATATTTGTCGTTTACCCAAGAGTCCCCAGTTCTCTGTGGTTGCCAGCACTAGATATTGAAGAGAGCTAGACTAGGTAGGAGCCTATCTTGTATCTTAGGAACTTTCTTATCTCATTTTTCCTTCTGGCTCCTTTTTCTTCCAGCCACATCTGGTCATATATAAATTCTCTGATATATTTTTTAACATAATCCAACCCAAAGCAAGTCATGTGTCTTTTGCATAACCACTGTCCTCCACTTTCATTTTCTAATTCTTACCTTTGATGCCATCCCAAATTCCAGTTGTAGGCAGTAACAGGCTTAACTATATTTGAAACTGATCAGTTTCAGCCAGTAATATTCTTAAAAATATCTTTCATTACAGAAACTATGAAAACAGAACCATAAAAAAAACCAGAACCTTAAAAAAAAGGAAAGAAAGAAAAAAACAGCCTTTGGGTTGGTGATTCATAGGCACTGAGCTCCATGGATCTGAACAAAGAGAACTCATGCCCTCTTCTGCATTCCGTTGCCTGAAGTAGGTGTATTGGGATCAAGAACATGGCAGGGGGTCCAGCTTCAGTGAAGGAGAAGCCAAGTTCAGGTGAGGTCATCTGGCTCTTGAGAAGGATTCAGACTCCACCTGCCATATACTTGCTCTTGTTTTTAATACAGTCTTAGTTTGTCTATTCTGAAAAATCTCTTATCTCATAAGATGAGCTTTATTGTTGGTGGTGCTCTCGATACAGCTCTGATTCATAGCGACCCCACGTACAACAGAACGAAACACTGCCCAGTACTGTGTCATCCTCACAATCCTTACTATGCTTAAGCCCATCATTGCAGCCACTGAGACAATCCATCTTGTTGAGGGTCTTCCCCTTCTTTGCTGACCCTCTACTTTAACAAGTATGATATCCTTCTCCAAGGAATAATCCTTTCTGATAACATGACCAAAGTAGGTGAGACTTGCTTCCAGGGAGATTTCCAGCTACACTCCTTCCAGGACAGATTTGTTCATTTT